TAACTTAATGTCATTTTACAGTTAATTTCTGTTATTTCACAGCCATTATTTAACGTTTTTTTCCCCCATACCCCAGCTGCCAGAAATAAATTGTAAAATTGCAGAATTTTTTACAGTGTAACACTGGGAGTGACAGAGACAACTGAGTTAGGATACACGTGCAGGTTTATTGGAGTAGTCAGGCAAGCAAAGGTCAACACAGGTGCAAACATATGTATAAAGGCAGTCCAGAATCGTAGTATAAACACAGGCGAGAGGTCGTAAAGCAGGCGGCAAATGGAGACAAAAAGGCAAGCAAGGCTAGGGTCAAGACGTAGGAAACCAAGACTAAGATAACCCGTTGTTATGTCACTATACACATGAACAAGACTCGGCAAAGAAAGTGAGTGTGTGTGCTGCTTAAATATTGTGTGTAATCAGTCTTTGACAATCCTCAGGTGGTGCGAGTGTAATCAGTCAGAATGAGGAAGCGTGTGTGAGTGTGTGTGGGCGGGGTGCATGTATGAAAATGTAGTCCAGAAATGGCGGAATTGTAGTCCATAAGTTGTTGTGAGTGAGACCCAGCGACCATATATTTCCCAGAGGTGGGTTGCGGCAGGAAGGGCATCCGCTGTGTAAAAGCTTGCTGGATAAGTTGGCGGTTCATTCCGCTGTGGCGACCCCAGATTAATAAAAGGACTAAGCCGACAAGAAAATGAATGAATGAATATATATATATATATTTTTTTTTTTTTTTTTTTTACATTATTGAAGCCATATCAGTAACTATTAATATTTATAATTTAGAACTTATTGATCAGCAAATGTCTCCATGTGCTGTGTTACATTTGTAATTTGTCTTTACATTTAGATGTAAATGAAATTTTTCAGACCACTAATTTCTCATTAGCATAACACACGTTAATAAGAGGTCTCATATGTGACTTTTCTTTCCAATGGACAGAAGAAGCGATGCTCTCTACAGCTCATGGTTAAGCTGTTGATGATGATTTTAGTGTAGTCTTTGGCTCACCTTAAATGAACATAGCTTAATACACGTTCATGTAGTGTCAGAGGTGGCCTCAACCCATATGATGAATCTGCTGATGTTGTGTTATGGGTGTATGTGTGTGTGTGCCAGGTCAGGTCAAAGGGGTAGTGTAGGACTGTGGCGTAAAGCCAGTCTGACTGTGTTGTGATTTACCCAGAGCTGGCCAGCGGGCATCTCCTGCCTGTGGGTACAGCATCACGCTGCTCGAGGGCAAGCTGGCCCTTTAAATGTCATAGAGATGAGTCCAGGACGAACAAACTGTGGCCAGACTGCCCTGAAAACTCATGGATTTGGTGTATGTGTGTGTGTTTGTGTTATTCTCTGTACAGCTCATTGGGATTTAAAGAGAGAAAGTTGTTACACAGTATTTTGTAATATTAATAAGTAACAATGTATATCCAAACATGAATGCTTGTGGTCACTGACACTTGATTGTTTCACTTGTATTTCTGAGTGATTCATGAGTTATTCAAAATAGTGATACATAATAGTGTATACAGCTAAAGTCAGAATGATTAGCCTCCTTTGAATTTTGTTTTCTTTTTTAAAATATTTCCCAAATGATTATTAACAGAGCAAGGCAATTTTCACAGTATGTCTGATAATGTTTTGTCCTCTGGAGAAAATCTTATTTGTTTTATTTTGGCTAGAATAAAAGCAGTTTTGGATTTTTTAAAAGCCATTTTAGGTGAAATTATTAGCCCCTTTAAGCTATATATTTTTTCGATATAGTCCACAGAACAAACCATCGTTATACAATGATTGCCTAATTACTCTAACCTGCCTAGTTACTCTAATTAACCTAGTTAAGCCTTTAAATGTCATTTTAAGCTGTATGGAAGTGTCTTGAAAATTACCTAGTCAAATATGATTTACTGTCATCATGGCAAATATTAAATAAATCAGTTATTAGAAATAAGTTATTATAACTATCATGTTTAGAAATGTGTTGAAAACAATCTTCTCTCCGTTAAACAGAAATTGGGGAAAAATAAACAAGGAGGCTAATAATTCAGGGAAGCTAATAATTCTGACTTCAACTGCACATAATAGGTAAGAATTGATTCACTAATTAAGTCATTAAATTATTCAACAGATTCGTTGAAAACACTGATTTATTCTGAAAAAAAAAGTTGACTCTGTGATTGAATTATTGAATCATTTCATACAAACTGACAGGTAAAAAAACTGATTCAGGAATGAATTTGAATGAGTTGAGAGTCTGCTTAAGTCACTGAATAGTTCCTTCAGAAATTAAAAAGTCGATTGTCTTCAGTGAGTTATTGAATCATTCACGGAGTCACCTGATAATTTAGCCTATTTATTAAACATTAATTCAATATAAAAATGATTAATTATCTGGTAAAGCGAATAATTTACCAGATTTATTCAAAACCCTGATTTATTCAGAAAAAAAAATTGTGAATCCCTGAATCATTCATTGAACTGATTCATTAAAAAAATGATTCAGGAAGAAAGATGTTGGTAGTCTTTAATTAAATAATTGAATAATTAAAAACTTATAAATAATCAAAACTGATTATCTTTGGTTTACAGAAGAAACCATTGTTTTATTGTTATTACTCATTTTTATATACTGTCACTTTCTTTATTTTTTATTCTGAATCTGAACAATTATATTGTCTTTAACTGTATTTATGTACAGTAGTCAGATATTCGTTTGGTTGCATTGTTAATTCCTCTGGTTTATTGAATAGATCAATTAATTCAACTGATTCATTTAAAAATGATGGTTTATTTAAGAATAAATAACTCGACTATCCTTTATACCCAAGATATTAAGTCAATCATTCAATTGATTCATTCAAAAGTACTGATTTATTCAGAAGCAAAACAATATAAAAGTGAACCATGAATCAGTATTTTTTTCTGGTTTAATAGATCACTGTAGGGCTGGGAAATATGGCCAAAAAATCATATCTCGGTATTATTAGGAGGAATGGCGGTATACACTATATATCCAGTATTTCCATAAGTGGTTACTTGAGAGTTGAAGTTTTAATAAAACTTCATTAAACAAGTTTTGAGCAAAATATAATTAAAACACAAGGGTTTCTCTCCCTGTTATTATCACCATTATGATTATCATTCTTATATTGTTATTTATTAATAGAGTAGCTAACGGCGAGATATTAAAATAGAAAAAGAAATGTTTGGTAGACAAATGCATGTTTTTTATTTTACTTTTTAAAAAATTTTAATCGTTTAAGCCACCAACCGTTTGTACACTAGGCACACACAAATCAAATCACATCCTCCAGTTAAGGGGCTAAAATACATAAATCAATTAAACAGAATAAATGAATAAATACATTGAATAGAATTTAATCGAAATTGAAGTCAATATGTAACAACAGACCAAAAGGCAGAGCTAAATGTGTTATAACGTAAATGGAAAGAAGAGACTGTCATGTAATAAATACTGAAATTATAAACAGTGAATTTGAGGTGGTTTCACTTTCATAATGCGTTATAAATTCATCCCATTTTGGCGTTTTTAGTTTTTTTAAACACATTTAGGTGCTGCTTGTTAATTTGAAAAGGCTTCTATGTTCATTCTTGCTGTCAATTGTGGAAGAAATAATCAATGAAAGGTTTCTAATAGTAATTTCTAATAGTAATTTTTAATGAACATGTACGCGACGGAGAGTCAGATTTGTCTGGGGAGTCAGATTTTGATACAACTCTGGCACTGCAGTGGAGTGGAGCTCGAGTGCTACCTGGAGTGGTCTGTTTCGCGCAGAACCCTAGATCACAGATTGCTTTTTTTAAGAATAAGCTTCTTGACTACCTTTATGCCTGAGGCATTACATCAATCATTAAATTGATTCATTCAAAAGCACTGATTTGTTCAGAAGCAAAACAAGATAAGAGTGAACCATTGAATCAGTATCACTTGTGTATTTAAGACTGAGCACATGGCTTATGAGTAGGCCATTGAATTAATCAACAAATTAATTCAAAATGTTTCTATATTTAGAAACAAAACAAGCAGGCGGTCATCATTTATTATTCTATATATATATATATATATATATATATATATATATATATATATATATATATATATATATATATATATATATATATATATATATATATATATATATATATATATAACCTGCTGTCTATTATTATTAATGTTAGTTACCAAATCATTCATCTGATTTATTCAAAATACTGAATCATTAGAGAATGAATTGACTCTCGTAGTCATTACAATTTTTTAATCAACAATTTTTTCCAAAATGCTGATTTATGTAAAAAAAAAAAAAAAAAGAAATTGACTTTGTGAAATAATGATTCAGGATTGAATCAGCCACGAGTCTTAAAGTCACAGTATCATTTAAAAACTGATTCATTTAGAAATAAAATAAGTTGATAGTCTTCAGCGAGCTATTAAATAATTTATTCATCATATTTTTAAAAATCTAAATGTACATTTATTACAAAATGGAGATGATGACCTTTCTAATGAATAGGTCAATGAATGATTCAGTAAGTTAATAATTATCCACTGACTTAAATAAGTTAATTAGTAACACTGCTTTGAATTCATTTGAAACATTTTTATTTTTTTGAAAGTAACTGCTAACATTATGTCTCTGTAATCTGTTATAATTTACATGTTAACATTTAATTTAAACTATAAACTGGATTGAAGCATATTAAAAACACACTCCTAAATTGGCTAAAAAATCTAAACATTGAGTTCTGTTGAACCAACTGACCAATTTTAATGCTCAAATTACAATAAAAAACACTTTCGGTTCTCTGTAAATTAAATTTATCATTTTGAATTTGATTAGATTTTTTTTGTATGCGTGTGACCACACAGCAGCCATCCAGATAAGCAACTGTATAGTAACATGTCAAAAAGAAGTGACACATTCACATAATTGTAGTTCACATCAACATAAATACATCTGTTTCTTGTGTTGTGTTTCAGCTCTTCTCTTAGGGGTCTCGGACTGACATAGCCTCGGCCAATCACTGCCTGAGTTAGAGGTGGCGGCCCATCGGGGTCGTGATGGCGGCCATGCCGTTCGTCAGCGAGGGCAAGTGTGTGTCCGTCGAGTGGGACTTTCTTCAGGGGCTTCTCGCCAAACCACCCACCTTACCCTGGTAAATAAAAAACATTTGAATATTTTTTTTTTTTGAGGCTGTTTACCTTTTTAATACCTAAATACAAATCAAAAGTGTACTTTTTCACATTTACTCACTCAAGATCTGTGCCTTAGTTTTTTTTTTTTTTTTTTTTTGAGGTTTTTATTACAGAAATCTTTTACAATTTCTACTCTAGAATTAAAGTTATTTTATAAACTGGGGGCTCGTCCGGGATGTGAACCTGGAACATTCTTTAAACTCTTGCTTGGGATGCAAGAAGTCCCAGTTTCAAATCCCAGACGAGCCCCCAAATGTTACAATTACTCTGAATCTAGCTATTGCAGAAAATTGTACAAATATTTGTGGCTGGGTCAGGAGTAAAAGCCTCCAAAAATCAACCCCCAAATTTAATGTAATTTTAACTAGTAAAATTATGTACAAATAAAAATACTTTATAAACTGGGGGCTTGTCCAGGGTGTGAACCTGGAACATTTATATTTTTTGAAAAAATAATTAGATTTTGAATTATTTCAAGGGTTTGAATTCTTGCTTCAGGTGCAAAAAATCCCTGTTCAAATCCCGGACGAGCCCCCAATTGTCACAACTACTATAAATCTAGGGATGGGAGTCAGGAGCTAAAACCTCCAAAAATCAACCTCGGGATTTAAAGTAATTGTAATAAGTACAATTATATACATTTTCCCCCAATATCTGCACTTTTACTTGAGTCTTTGAAGACTTTTTATGCCCCTGCACTAAGATAACAACTCGATTTTTCCTGCAAGCTTTGGTTTTCGTCAGGGCTCTGTGTAAGCCTATGGTTTGGATCCATTAGCGGCAGATTAAGTAAGTTTTAGTAGAATTATTAATGTCTGCTCAGCTGTGGAGGATATAAAACTAAGCAGAATCAATGGCACTGTATTGATTGAAGCCTCCAGGGTCGTCTCAGTACAACCATGAGATGTTCGTGGAGACTTTTTTCTTTACTTGGTACGGTGCTGTTTACACACTGAGGATCTCACAGGAGCAAAACACTGATACACTGATTTACTGTGACTCATACATTATAGAAATGTAGACCAGGGGTTCCCAGATATTTTGTTCTGATGATTTAACCCTTAATTGTAAAATTTCTAGACCTCAGATTTAAACTGAATGTGTTAGTTATTCTATAACATATTCACATACTGGAGGCAGTGTTTTTGTGATTATTATTACAATAGATGAACAGTTTTTTTTTTTTAATATCTTGTTTTGTATTTGCTGTTTTCACATTAATTTTAATTACAGCTTTACAATTTAGAGCTTAGTTACATTTTCATTAGGTTTTACTGAGCTTTTGGTCATACTTTATATTAAGTGGCCTTAACTAATATGTACTTACACAGGAATTAATAGTTTGCACTTGTTGTATAAAGTCATGTATTTACTGTGTACTTATGCTTGATTAAATACATTTATGTAATTACATCTGTAATTACCCTTTGTAATAACATTTGTAAATACACTGTTGATTATCCCTTACACCTTCATCCACCCTTAAACGTACCCATACCACCAAACCTGTCCATAACCCAACCTCTATCCCAACTCAAAAGCACCACAAGTGTTCTCAAATACATTATAACACAGTAAGTACATTGTTTTTATTTTTTTGATGTAAGTACATAGTAGTTAAGGACACCTAATATAAAGTGGGACCGAGCTTTTTATTTATTTTTTATTACAGTATTTTATTAAAGCATTTTTTAATTTAAGTATTTTTAAGTATTTTAGTTAAATTAAATTAAAAATAAATTAGATTGATTTTCTGTAAAATAGCTTAAATATACTTTATATATGGTAAATAATTTTTGGTTTTACTGCATTAGTTCATTGTAAGTGCAATAGTTTTACTGCATTAGATCATTTCACTGCATTAGTTCATTGTAAGTTCAATTTCACTATACAAATAAAGGTCTGATTTGAAAAACCTATCTGGTTCACTGGCAATAAATGGAGTAATTTAAGTAAATGAAGAAATATTCTTTGTTAGTGTTTTATTTTGACTTTGTAACAAAGATATTGAGTTAATATTGAAAAAATGGTTTGATATTTGCATGTTCATAGTATACTCGTAATATAAAATATATATATTTGTGTTCCTATATTACTTTTATATATGGACTACTGTTAAAATGTCTTAAACCTGTGTGTTATTTTTTACGAGGCTACTTTTTAAATACTTCAATACAATTTAAAGGTTTATTATATATATATATATATATATATATATATATATATATATATATATATATATATATATATATATATATATATATATATATGTGTGTGTGTGTGTGTGTGTGTGTGTGTGTGTGTGTGTGTGTGTGTGTGTGTTTTGTATGTTTTGTCCCATGATTGTTTTTTTTTCCAGCAAAAAGCCCCAGTTGTTAGAATTAGTTGCTATATATTTTTGAAGTTTATATTATAGACATATTTTACAATTTTCTACAACGCTTAGATTTAAGGTAATTATATAAACTGGGGGCTCGTCCGGGAGGAGAACCTGAAACATACTTGTTTTTTTTAAAGAAAAATTTGACTTTTAATTATTTTAGGAATTTGAACTCTTGCCTTGGGGTGCATTAAGTCCCAGTTTCAAATCCCGGACGAGCCCCCAAATGATGCAATTACTCTAAATCTTGGAATTGGAGAATCTGACTGGGTCAGAAATGAAAACCTCCATAAATCAACCCTTAGATTTTATTTTACATTGGCTACAACTTATGATTATTAGCTTTAGGTTAATATTATTAACTCACAACTGCCTTTTAGTTCATCTTAAAAAGACTAACACAAACACACACATATAAAGGTCATAAACTATCGTTAAACCACTGAAGCACAAAGCTTTGCTGATTTACACACTCTGTCTGTTAAAGTGCAACACAGTTCTGTCTAAACAAATAAATTAGTCCCTTTTCAATTTAGGGGGAACTGACTCTTTTGTGCATGCTTTTTGGCAGTTCCCTTTCATTCCATGGGTCCCCCTCTTCACACACACACACACACACACACACATTTTCTGTGTGCCGTCCCTCCCTCCTGTGCATCTGCAGGATGAATGAGAATCAATGTCACCGACACAGAAAGAGAGCGAGAAAGAGAGAGAGGAGCGTTCGGCTCCGTCTTCCAGCGCAGTCACAAATTGTAGAGCGCCCGTGACAACATAATTCCTCCACTCAGGCCCCATTGAGAGCGAGTCGATATCCAATCACAGCGACTGCTACCTGGACCGGCCTTCGCCACCAGCCCTCCCTCCATTGATCCCTCAATCAGGACCGGGACTCACCACCCAGGAGGGAGCCTGGGAACCAAACGCAGCCATTGGACTTGGGCTAGATTCTGGTGCTGGATTCATCAGCCCCCCTGCTGGCCACGCTGAAGCTGATCAGAGGTCAGACATCACAGATGCCTGGAAAACCGCTGATGGAGTCGGAAAAGATCCAGACAAACACCTTGTCTCTTAATGTCGATCTCCAGTGAGGGTTATGCGGCAAAACAGCAAAAAAAAAACTTTAAAATTCAGCTATGCGTTCTATAAAACATGGTACGATAGTGGATGATTAACTTGTGTTCCCATATTTTGTTCATGAAAATGATCATTTCAAATTTCAACTTGAATTTCTAGACTACTTTTTAATGATGTTCCCATGACTTCTGGATTCATGCTTTAGTAACTTTTTTCATTTTGACACAAGCTCATTCAGATCTTGCTGCATCCAATCAACAACTGAACTCAATGTCAATGAGTACATTTACAAGGGCACCAAAAATCTCATTTTAAAAATACAATGAAGACAATACTCTGATTAAGAGTCTACCATGTTGTTATTATTCTAGTCCCAATAGTAAAAATAAATAACTTTTTTATATTATATGGAAAATTCTTTAGCCACAAACAGTTTTTTTTAATATTCTTCCTCATTTTCCCATTTTTTTAATTGAAATTGATTCCTTGCTTAAAGCTTTACGTTTATCGGACAACAAATTCTGCAAGTTAATAAAAACTTATGAAAATATCATACTTCCAGTAAGTTAGTCTTTAATGCATTCTGTGTTTTTTATTTAATTTAATTTTGTACTTCCCCTTTCTTTTTTTTTTGTTCTCTTTTTTCTCTTCTTATTACTTATTGTTACTTATTGTTCTTATCACTTTGTAACTGCATGTACAGGGTGGGCCATTTATATGGATACACCTTAATAAACTTATTGAGAATTTATTGACAAGAAAAAAACAGCGGTGTGCTTGGTTTTAATGTAACTTTATTCTTTCATGAGTTATTTACAAGCCCCCTCACATATATTAATGTGCCACAAACAGGACGTAAATATTACCTACCATTCCCATTTTATTAAGGTGTATCCATATAAATGACTCACCCTGTAGTTGTGTTCCAATCTCCTACAGATTACTTCCTCATTTATATTGTACATTTCTTCTTTTCTAAATAAAAGTAAATTAAAAAAAAGTCTACCATGTAAATAGCGATTTTTGATAAATTAAGATCATAACCGACCTAAGTGAAGTTTCACAAACTAAAGCTGCAGTCACACTGGGCTTTTCTCCCCATAGACTTCTATTCATACACACATGAATGCGTCAGACTGGAAATGCAGGGTCATGCATCAAGTTTCGCAGGTTGCTGAGGTGCAAAGTTCAAGCTTGGTAAACTTTGACCTGCGTGAGACCAATCGAGGATCAAAACATGACATCTCTGGACAGAAATTTAAAACATGGAGCAATCCCTCGCTTTTTTAAATGTTTAATAATCTTATTTAATCCAACCCCTTTTCGCAGCGCTGCATGACAGAATATCGCAAGCTCAAACTCTAGTGTGACTGCAGCTTAATTTCGAGAGGAGCATGTGATATGACTGACTACAGCTGATCCTTATCGCTAATCATTAGCTAGCCTATCAGATCATTCCAAAACTACTATAAATATCCTACCTAAACTTCATAATATATCTTTATTTTTGGATTCCCCCTGGGGATCTCCCGGGACAGCATGCCAAACCTGCTATCATAATTGAGCATAATCAAAGTGTGAACTCTTGAAACAGAAATCGGATTAAGACATGCCAATATTAGTCGCATAATTAAAGTGCGGTACAGACATGTAAATACCGCAATCAAAGTACCGTCATGTAGGATTTTCGCTTTTTGCAACACATTGACTAAACTGAGTTAATCTTAAACTCTGAAAACTGAACTACACTGTTTCAATTTACTATGATCTTCTATGTGAAGCTGTTTTGACACAATCTAAATTGTAAAAGTGCTACGCAAATAAGGATGAAATGAATTAAATTGCTGATTGCTGCTGATTATCATTTGTTTGAATCTGGGAGTCTCTATGCATTTGCGGGAGACACCCGGAACTTCTGGGCACTACGGGTGTCAAAATTGTTTCTTTGGTGCACCGCAATGCAGATAGGAACAATTCAATATTGGTTCAGTAATAGATCATAACCAGTTATTAGATACTGAGGTCATTTATCTCCTATGTGCGATGTCGCAGTAGAATACTATAGCGAAGGAGGCGAGTAAATAAAACACTCGGTCACACTTTACAATAAAGTTCATTAGTTAATGTTAATTAATGCTTTTACTAACATGAACAAACAATGAACAATACATCTACCACTGTATTTGTTCATGTTAGTTAACGTTAGTTAATGCAAATACAGTAGTTCATTGTTAGTTCATGTTAACTCATAGTGCATTAACTAATATTAACAAGCATGGACTTGTTATGACTTGGATGGTAATAATGCATTAGTAAATGTTCAATTATGATTAATAAATGCTGTACATGTGTTCTTCATGATTAGTTCATGTTAGTAAATGCATTAACCTTATTGTAAAGTGTTACCAAACAGTCCTACTACTTAAAATAAGACAATTATGCACAGTTTAACTGCTTGCGAGTTTGCTGGAAAGTCTTTCACTGACACTGAAGAAGGCACAGCACACGAGCCGCTATTTCACTTCTACACTCTCTGAAATAAAGGTATGCAAGCTGTCATTGGGGTGGTACCTTTTCAGAAGGTACATGTTTGTACATAAAGGGTTCTTATTGGTACCTCAAAAGTATTAGTACTTAGAAAATTTTAAAGGAACACTTCTTAGCTCACTTTTTAGCTATTAATATGTACTCTTGAGGTATTAATATGGAGCTTTTAGATGCAAATTTGTACATTTTGAAAAGGTAACATCTGAGTGACAGCTCGCGTGTCTTTGTTTCTGAGAGTGTTGGGAGAAATGCTGTAAATCAGTCTCTCTCTCTCTCTCCGTTTCTCACTTTGGAAATTTGACCCACTAGCATGTTCGTGAGGTAACTTTTCCTCTCCTCTGGGTTGTTAAAGCGATACTTGTGAAACTAGACGCGAGCGTACCTGTGGTGTGAGTTCACCATTGTGTCTAGTATTGATTACCTGTGATAACCGCGAATTATGCGCACATAAACTGTAACTTTCATTTATAAAGCCAATTGCAGCCCTTTCTGTTGATCGGGGTCTTAGTGTAAAGCCTGATTTATACTTCTGTGTCAAGTGACCGGCGTAACCCACGGCGCATGCAACACACGTGGCTGTGCATTTATACTCCTGCGCGCTGTCTCTGTCGGTCTGCATTAACACTTCCGAAACGCTAGTTGGCAGTGAGGTGTAAATGTTCCTCTGTGTCGAGTTTCTTTGCTGCTTTTTTGCTTTTCCTGAACACTTCCGGGATGTACAAGTGGCTCAAACTCGCTTATTTTGAGGCAGGAACCGGCGGACATGCAGCAACTTTAACTATGAGGTAAACACAAAACAAAAATTTCCATCCGGAGCTCCTTCACGGGACTCCACACTTGTAAACAATCGCTCGCACCATTCGCGCGGCTCTCGGTCCCGCCCAGACTCGTCAGCGCTACCAAGCCGACCAATCACAGAGCTTACGCTGAGTGTCGTTGCGACGTGTAGTTACATTTTTTGAGAGGTGCACGTCAGTGACGGCCACGGCGAAGGGCTATGCGTCAGCGCCGTAGCATACGCCGGCGTTTGACGCAGAAGTATAAATCAGCCTTAAGACCTCGCTTGACAGTGCTCAAAAAGCAAGCGGGGTAATATTTACATTTTTGTTTTGTTTGATACATTAAAAAAGAGTGTTTTCTTTGAGCAGGTCAAATTAAAGGTTCAGTTCATATATCTGACTGTTTGCAATAAAGGAAAAAATGTATTACAAATAATATATAAATATAAATATATTTATACATGTTATCAAAAAATTTTTTTCTTGTGTTGTGAAGAAAAATCGAATTACTTATGGAAAGCATCATCGATGCACTGTGATGCACCGAGATATTGAATTGAACCGAACCAATAGCATGATAATCGTAACGAACCGAACCGCAAGACTAGTGTAGGTTCACATGCATACTGGGTACCAAAAATATCCTCAGAACACATCTGAAGTGTGTCTTAAGTGGGTTAGTTGTAATGTTACGAAGCTATGAGAATGCTTTTGTGCACACAAAAAAAAATTATTAATTCCTTTTCTTTTCGGCTTAGTCCCTTTATTAATCAGGGGTTGCCACAGCGGAATGAACCGGCCAACTTATCTAGCATATGTTTTATGCAGCAGATGCACTTCCAGCTGCAACCCATACATCCACTCACATACAGTACACTACGGTCAATTTTAGCATACACAGTTCACCTATGCCATGTCTTTTAAACTGTAGGAGACACCGGAGCACCCGGAGGAAACCCACACGATCACGGGAGAACATGCAAACTCCACACAGAAATGCCTGTCCCAACCGAGGCACGGACGAGCAAACCTACTTGCTGTTAGGCGAACGTGCTACCCACTGTGCCACTGTTTCGCCACAAATAAATTTATTCACAATTTTTTTCTCTTCAATGTCAGTTCAGGGTGCATTTTCACAAGAGCGCAATGAACTAATGCATGCATAAAAAGTTTAAATAAAGCACAGACTCATCCATGGAACATGTCAATATGCAATTTAACATAATCCATATGTTTGTGTGGCATTAAATACATTTGTGGTCAACTGGAGATAATGAATCTGGTTAGATTTCAGATATGAGATTCTTACTCATCTCTGTTCACATCAACAACCAAACTGCATAGTTTTTGTAACAAACAGTAACTCCTCATTAAGCAGCGCTAGCTCTCCTTGACCCACCTGTACATTACCATTGTCTAATCTCTCTTCCTTTAATTAATGATCATTAATTAAACAGCCTCCCTTGTCTGATTTCCCCCAGCTTGCAGAACTTGAGGAAGGAGAAGTCCCGCAATGCAGCTCGTTCTCGGCGAGGCAAAGAGAACTTTGAGTTCTTCGAGCTGGCCAAGATGCTCCCCCTCCCTGGGGCAATAACCAGCCAGCTGGACAAGGCCTCCATAATCCGCCTCACCATCAGCTACCTGCACATGAGACACTTCGCCAGCCAGGGAGACCCGCCCTGGAGCCCCCTAATGGAAGGAGAGAACAACTGCAGCAAGGGTGAGACTTAACACAGAGAGAAGTCGATTTTACTAAGTGCAACATGTCCCTGAATCCCCTTTGTAGATCCTGGAGCAACATCCAATAAACAAGTCAGATTTGTGGGACAAATTTACAGCTGATGCTTAATTTAGATCAGTTGTGTCAAGCTCAGCCCTGCATAGTTTAGTTCCAATCCTGCTTAAACACCCTAACCTGGAGGTTTAAAATAAGCCTGGAGTACTAAATTAGCTTGATCAAATGTGCAGACCTGTGCCCTCCAGAAACTAAGTTGTGTGATGTAGACTTAGGCTGCGTTCAAAATTGCCTCCTACTCAGTGGGTTCTGCATTTCAATTTTACTTGATGGTTGGGAAATACATCCTATACAGTATGAATTACAGCAGGAATAAAACACGGAGGTACTACATCTGCCATTTTATCATGATTACGTGACCTACCCGTAGCATGTATCAAATTCGCATTTCAAAATTAGCGCACGATATAGTATGGAGGTACGCGATTGTGGACGCAGCCTTACAGAACAGGGTTTGGTGCTTCTACATCATTGTTGTTCAACTTGCCTCCGATTTTATGAATAATTTAGAGTAAGTATTTAGGTGTAGGGATTATATTTGGATTTGGGGGGTTTTCACACAGCAGTGTTCTGGAATCAACAAAATATTAAACTCTATACACTCAATACACGTACTGTACAGGACATGTATGACTGGAGTTACATACTATACTACCTTTTGTATGATAGACAAAAACTGCACTAAATTGAAAATAAAACCATATATTTAATATGCAGAGATATTCAACATTATATAGGGTTCAAAGTAGGTCTTAAAAGGTCTTTAAAAGGTCTGTATCCTTCAGGAAATGTTCATTGCCACATTTCATTCATTCATTTTCTTTTTAGCTTACTCCATTTATTAATCTGGGGTTGAAGCAGTGGAATGAACCACAAACTTATCCAGCATATGTTTTACGCAGCAGATACCCTTCCAGCTGCAACCCATCACTGGGAAACCTCCATACACACTCACACACTACAAACAAGTTTCAGTTTATCCAATTTTAGGTCAGTCTTTGGACTGTGGGGGAAAATGGAGCACCTGGGGGAAACCCACACGAACACAGGGAGAACATGCAAACTCCATACAGAAATGCCAACTGACCCAGCCGAGGCTCGAACCAGCGACCTTCTTGTTGTGAGGCGACATCGCTACCTACTGCACCACCGTTGCCTAATCATTGCCACACTTAAGTGATCAAATCATATTATTGTACTTTTTGTATTTTCTATCTAGTTTAAGTAATGATTGATTTTTGCAATTCTGACACTGAAATTTGGAATTTCAGAACTCTAAATCATTTAATGATTTAAATTACCAAAAAATTTAAAATTCTGTGAAATGAAAAAATATTGCAAAAACAGACTTAAATTTATTTCATTATATATTTTTTTATCAAACAGTTTTATTTAATTACATTTTTTTCAAATAATTTTTTTTTATTGTGTGGTTAATTAATTAATTACATTTTTTTGTGTGTGGTTTTTGCAACCCTGCAACCAAACTTTAGGACATTCAAATTTAAAAAGAAATTCTAGAAATAACATATGAATTGACAATTAAATAACGCATTAATTAAAAAAAAAAACATATAACATCACAAATACATGGTTAGCACTGTTACCTCACAGCATGAAGGTCGCTAGTTCGAGTCCTGGCTGGGCCAGTTGGCTGGGCCTGTGTGGAGCTTGCATGTTCTCCTTGTGTTGGCGTGGGTTTCCTCCGGGTGCTCCAAAGACATGAAGGTGAATTGAATAAACTAAGCTATCTATAGTGTAAATGAGTGTGTATGGGTGTTTCCCAGTACTGGGTTGCAGCTGGATGAGCATAAAACATAAGCTGGAATAGTTGGCGGTTCATTCTGCTGTGTCGACCTCGGAAATAGAGACTAAGCTGAAATAAAATAAATTATTTAATGAATGAATAAATCGAATGCGTGTGCCCACAACTAATCTGTCATTTATTGAGCAGTTTGTTAAACATTATGAAAATAATTATAAAATGATACATTAATTAAAGAAAAAATATTTGTAGTTCTTTTATTTCAGTATTACTACCTAAAAACATTTTCACGTCCATAACGCACTGGCCTAATTGTCAACATTCATCCAAGGCAGATTTATCCAAGGTTCTCATCCACAGCACCAATCCTGACGTTGATTTGTATTTGAGGTGCCATTAACAGAGGAGATGGCTTTGAGTGAACCGCAGCGAAAGTCAATTCTAACACGACAGTGGCGTCCTGTCGATGAATACAAATGCGTTATTAATTTAAATTATGAATTTAAATGGAATAGGCTATTATTGTCTTATAGGTCGCTCGTGTGCGTCGCTTGGGATACTCTCACATCGAAAATTGCCAGCGAAGAGAGAGCGAATGCTTACGCACACGTACACACACACATAGAGACAGAAAAGTAATTGAGATTGCGCCACAGGAGTAATCACTCGCAGTCATGCGGAGTTAAACACGGCTCATCTGAAATAATGCATTTGCTAGTTCACTAGTTGCAGCATACAGACTGTATACAGGAGCAAAATACACGGTAAAAACCCTCATCACGGTACATATTCCTTTCATATGCTTCTTTTCAGAATGAGGGGGGGCTCTGCCATTTGAGTTTAATTCGAGAGCAGGGTCATTTGGCTTCTCAAAAAAACGCTCCGTCATTCATTACGTCCTCTGATTGGTTCATCTCAATTGTGAAGTGAACAATAGATCTAACAGCCAATTAGCCGCTGTCTGTGTGGAAGCGAAGGGGGACGAACAAAAGAGCCTGAGTCCTCGCTCAAGCTTGTTAACAAGTGGCCAGACCGAGGAAGTGTGTTTCTGAGAGATGGTCCTTTTGTAGGAAGCCTGCGAGCCTCATTATACCTGCCGCATCAAAGCCATTCAGTCCTGTTCAAATACCTGGGCGAATGTCTCTTTTCCTGCTCGCTGTTTTTATCTCTTCTTTTTGTGTGTGTGTGTGAGTGTGTGTGTTTCAAAGCCTGGTGAGGTGCCTTGTTTTGCTGTCCGCTGGGATTTCAGTCAGTGGAGCTGTTTAGACATGTGGCAGCACCAGCTTCCATCTAAATGTAGTCACTTGCACTTTGTTCACGTTTAAATGTGCATGATTTAAGGATGAAGAATTGCATATTGGTGTCTGCATCTATATAGCACTGAAAGCATTTAAAAGTCTATGTGAAATGTTAGTAGCTGAGACTTTTATTTCAGTATGTTGATGCACTTTTAACTGAAGTGGAATATTGAGTAGGGGGCGGGGCTTTCTTTTTGTGCATCATACACTCATAGCAAACTAGTGGTAAGAGGGGCGCGGTTAAGAATATTGTGGCGGAAGTAGCTGAAAGTGACTCTAAACGCAGAAGCAAATAGTCAGACGTTGATTGAAGATTACAAAAATTAAAATAAAGTGATTGATTAATTTGCATAGATTATTGTTCACCTAAAGAATAAATACTTTCATTCATTAAGTTTCCTTTGGCTTAGTTACTTTATTCATCAGGGGTCGCCATAGCAGAATGAACTGCCAACTTGTCCAACCTTCTAGCTGCAACTCAGTACTGGGAAACATCCACTACGGCCAATAATGTTTATTCAATTCACCTATAGTGCATGTTTTTGGACCGTGGGGAAACCAGAGCACCTGGAGGAAACCCAACACCAACACAGAGAGAACATACCAACTCCACACAGAAATACCAACCGGCGGGACTCAAATCAGCAACCTTCTTGCTGTAAGGTGACAGTGCTAACCACTGAGCCACTGTGTCGCCCCCAGAATACCAACGTGAGCTAGCAGAATAAACATTGTAAATTTTGATTTAAAGATAAAGCATGCATAGAAGGCTTATTAAAGTATCTTTGTTATGTTTTAGATACATTTTTGGAAAATAAATAAAAGAAAAAAGTCAAAGTCAAAATATTCCATTTTTATTAATTGTGAAAAAATAAATATATATATATATATATATATATATATATATATATATATATATATATATATATATATATATATATATATACACACACACACACACACACACACACACACACACACACACATATATATATATATATATATATATATATATATATATATATATGTGTGTGTGTGTGTGTGTGTGTGTGTATATATTTTTATTTTTTAATTGTGAAAAATATATAGTGACAGAAATATATTCTGACGTGTGCTATCTTCTATACTTTGACATTCACTTGTTTAATGCTATACTTTATAGCTACTCTATTAGCAACAATGTTCAAATTTAAAATATATAAAGCATAGCCTTGCCAGTCTAACAACATGATAACTTCCAACTCTAGAGTACAGAGCATTTGTTTAGCAACGTATTAGCATTATTTTTTATTTTATTCTTAATCTATTGTTTGATGTTAACTTTAAGCTAACAGTGGTATACTTTATATGTTAGAGTTTAACATTAGCATTGGATAACAAGGTTTTTTTTTTCTAAAGATTGATGTTAGCTTGTTCCAAAGCTTGCAAATTACATCTCTGTACTTTGTGCTTTAGAGTGTGGTGTTATTGCTAAGCTAATGTCATACTCTATAGTTAAGTGACACGTTAAGCTAACAATGCTATATCATATGTTCCAAATTCTGATGTTAAAGTTTTTCTAAGCTTTTATACTCAATTTAATGTTAACATGTTATGCTAATGCTATATACACTGATAGCACATGTACAGCTATTTAATATCTTAAAACTATCTATTAAACTTTGTCTGTTAAAAAGTCCCCTGATATACTGTATGTCTGTTAGATGTTTAAAACAGTTTGTTAAACGTAACCATTTAAAGACATTTGTACATGGCAAATGCTTTTGAGACCAATCCCTCTTCAAAAAAATTTGTTCTGGAAATTTGTGTGCTATCTAGGGAATATAGACAATACTTTAGTGTTTGACATTAGCATGTTGCTA